AGAGAGAGAGAGAGAGAGAGTTCTTCTTCCTCTTCTTCTAAGTCCACCATCTCTTCTTCCCCTCTCACCACCTGACTTCTCAGTATCAGCGGACTACCACAGAGAGAGAGTTGTGACTTGGGACTTGATGACATTGGATCCAGACTTGACATTTGGGATTCAGACATTTCGACGAGGGACTATTTGGGCTGTGCCGAAGACTTGGTGTTGACGACATTCCCATCTTCCCCTCCTCTTCGTCTAACCCCTTCTTCGTCGTCTGTGTATGGTAGGGGCTGGTGCAGTCTTCCTGTGTGAAGCGCCAGACCCCACTCACACCGTGTAACGATGATGATGATGTATGTTCAGGGCTGCATTGCAATATTGATTGTTCGGATCATTGGTATCTAAGTCTTCCGCTGTGCTATCTTATACTTTGCATTGAGAGGTCGGTTCTTGTTCTGGTCTGCACGTTACAGTATGCAACAGTTTGGTATCGGAGCGGACCTCTCATTCAGAGGACCCGCTCAATCAAATAGCCAGCTTGCTTGATCTATTGATTACTCATTAGTAAATCAAGTAGGACTTCGTCGAATCTCTGAAAAAAAAACAAATTCTCGCAACAACTATCTGAAACTTCTGATATTCGCATTTCGTTTTACCTGAAAATTTCGGATATTAGTATTTCGTTTTTACGTAACAAATATCTGAAAATTTCTGATAAATCGCATTTCGTTTTGTCTGAAAATTCCCGATAGTAGCATTTCGCTTCTCTGATATTTCGCATACATACGGAAACTGCAATTATTCTTTTCTGAAAATCGAATTTCCATTCTATCTCGCAATTTTTTTTTGAAAACCGAAATCTTGCGAAGCCTACCAACATTTCGATAGGCATATTCGGAGGTTGCCATATTCTCAGAAACGGGATTTAGTTCTTTTCTGAAAATCGCATCTCTATTCTACCTCGCAAATTTTTTTTTTTCAATATCGCATTTTGTGAAAGCCGAAACTTTGCGGAACCTAGCCTGGAGCTCGTTCATAGTACTCTTCTGACATGTCTCACTCATAATAGATCGACAGATATACAACAACAAAAAAAAAAGGAAGTAGTCCTCTTTATTTTTTATTTTATTTTTTTTATCTGTTGATTAGGGCCGGGAGGAAAGTATTGTTGGCTTGGTTCCCTACCTGCGTTTTCCCTCCCCACCCACCCTTTGCATGCATTTCCAAGTTGGTACAGTGCCACGTCAGCAGTGCCATGTCAGCAGTGCCACGTAAGCAACAGTGCCACGTAAGCAACAGTGCCACGTCAACAGTGCCACGTCAACAGTGCCACGTCAGCAGTGCCACGTCACAGTGCCACGTAAGCAATAGTGCCACGTCAGCAGTGCCACGTAAGCAACAGTGCCACGTCAGCAGTGCCACGTCAGCAGCGCCCCGCCACCATGACGGGCGCAGCTCTGGGCATGCCAGGCCAACTGGCCAATGAGTCGCTTGCCGACTACAAACAGCGGTTCCAGGCTCAGAACACTCTCATCGAGGCTGAGGAACAGCGCCAGCTGGCAGCCGAGGCTGCCCGCCTACAGGCTGAAGCAGCGGCAACAGCGGAGAAGCAGCGGCTACAGGCAGAAGCAGATGCAGATACCCAGGCACGCCGCAAGGAGGCCCAGGTTCTGCTGCAGCGGCATGAAGCTGCCAGCATCGAAAGACTCAAGTTCTGGCACTTTGAACCGGCCAACGGCGAGGACGCGACACCGGAAGAGCAGCATAAGGAGTTCTTCTCCAAACTCGTGACACGGTTGTTGTACACGTGCAACTACCAACAGTCCGAGTTAGAGAAACAGAACCAGAAACTGCAGCAACAGTACCAGGATCTGAAGATACAGCACCAGGAGTTGGCGAACGTCCGCCGGATAGTGCAGAGCCACGAGGATGCAACACGGGCACTCAATTCCCGTGTACTGGACCTGGAACAGGCTGTACCAGGACTAGATGCTGGGGCTTCCAGCAGTGCACCCTCTAGCCGCCAACTGGAGGAACGCGTTGACCACGTAGTGGCAATGCTGGGCGACATCAGCACCTTCGCGGCGCCAACCACCATCAGCAGCCAGCTGGACACGTAGAAGACCGAGGTCCAGCAACTGCAGTCGACGAACTCGGATGGCAATCCAAAGTTGTACAAAATGCCAACTTTCCAACTGGAGAAGTTCGACGACTACACACATCAGGATCCGGTCCTCTGGTGGGAAGCATTCACGACGCAACTTCGGATTCTGCCTGTCGCCAAGCACGCGTACATCGGCGCCCTGTTCATGAACTCAAAGGGCGGATGCCAGACCTGGTTGACCCACCTGGCAGCCACCCACAGCGTCGACGTCGCAGATCTCAAAGACAAGATCACATGGGAAGAGTTGACACGGCTGTGGAAGAAGCGGTTCATCGTCGACGATGCACCAGCACTAACCATCAACCGACTCTTCACCATGACTCAAGGCAACACAGCAACACGTGACTGACTCACGGAATGGCAGAAGATCGCGGCAGTGCCCGATCTGGACTTACCATTCACGCATCTACGCCGTGAGTTCTACAACAGGTCATGCGCTGCGCTGAGCCAGGCACTTGGTGATCRCGAGCAGTATACCACTTTCGCCGAGATCATTGACAAGGCGAGAGAGATCATCAAGACCAACAGGGCAGCTGCACACGAGAAGTCAACGTGGCAGCCGACCTATGTGGAGAAGGTAAAGACTGGTCCGTGACCGCAGCACTTTGCTGCAGTTTAATCGGACAGTGGAGAAGACCCAGCAGCCACTCCATCATCACGTGACGGAGATCAGGTGGCTGTTGTCCAGCCGCGAAGCAACAACAAGTCCCGGAACAATGGGAAGGCGAAACCGGCATCGCAAGCCGGAAATGGACAGCCAGCACCATGGGTCAAGTTTAGCTTGACCGAGGCGGAGTACAAGTACCGCGGCTGCTACGGCTGCTGCTACTGGTGCAACAGCACCAAGCACAAGACCTCTCTTTGCCAGGATCAGGCCAAGGAGGATGTGCGACCCCGTCTCAGCTCGGGAAATTTCGCGGGAGGTGAGGCGACTCCACCTTCCACTCCGCCAGATTCGGTCGCCTTGCTAGCGGCCTCCTGCACATCTGGGGAGGATGCGAATGTCGTAAGTTCTCGGTACACTTACAAGGACTATGCTGTCCACTTGGTTCCACCGCTGGACCAACCGCTCCATGTGCAACAATCAACCGCATGCACGGTTTCATCACCATCGGCAACCAATTCGGCAGCTTCGCCGCCATCTATCGCCGGGGATTCGACGTCATGGTCAAGACTTGAAGAGCTCGACCCATTGACGTTCGCAGACTTCCAATGGATGCCCGTTCCCTCGACCGGACGATTGCCGAAACCGCATTGCAACGTGCTCATGGCACAACTGCGGGATTACTTGCACACTGCAGTACCGACTCCGTTGATGGACGCCGGAGTAGAGGTTGTCGACCTTCACGCCTACATTGCGAAGATCGACTGTGAGTTCAAGACGCAACGGTACGACGACATCGATGCACCATTGCTATATGTACGCATTCGGATCGGAGAGGCGACCTGCAGCGCTTTGATCGATTGCGGAGCATCTTGCAACTACATCAGCCAGGACTTCATGGTGCACGCCGGCCTTGGCCCACGCGTCCGAAGGAAGCCCCAACCCACGCAAGTGAGGCGGTATCCTTTGACATTCTGGACACCAAATTTGACATGATCTTGGGCATGTCATGGCTGCGAAGCGAGGATCACCCGGTGAACTTCTATAACCGCACCGTTCACATTCGTGATCGGAACAGAATACTAGTCCCATGCACGGTGTCTCTTCCTCATCCTTCGATCAGCTGCCACGTGGTATCCGCCGCAAGCATGTGAGCTTCCATCATCAGAGACGACATCGAGGAGATGGGGGTGTGTTTTCTCCACGCCCTCCCGCCCCATGACGCTTCATCGACGGACTCATCTTTGGATCCACGCATCACCGAACTTCTCGATGCCTACAGCGACGTGTTCGAAGGCCCGCACGGAGTAGTACCGGATCGACCCATCCGCCTCGAGATTATCCTCGAGGACAGGGCTGTACCTCCGCGCGGTTGCATCTACCGAATGAGCGAGGAAGAGTTAAGTGTGCTTCGGGCACAACTCGACGACCTTCTGGAGAAAGGCTGGATTCGGTCTAGCTCATCGCCATACCGTGCTCCTGTTCTCTTCGTCCGGAAGAAGAACAAGGATTTGCGGTTGTGCATCGATTATCACAAGCTCAATGCGCAAACGATCAGAAACGTCGGCCCTCTCCCACGCATCGACGATCTTCTCGAGCGACTGGGCGGCGCCAAGTTCTTCTCCAAGCTGGACCTCAAGTCGGGATATCACCAACTCGAGATTCAGAAGGAGGATTGCTACAAGACCGCGTTTAAGATGCAATATGGGCATTTCGAATGGCTGGTTATGCCATTTAGCCTTACGAATGCCCCGACCACATTCCAAGCGGCTATGACAACGGAGTTCCGACACATGCTGGATCGATACGTACTTATCTACCTCGACGACATCCTGGTGTACAGCCGGAGTTTGGAGGAGCATGTGGAACACCTGCGCACCGTTCTGGAGCGGCTACGACAAGCCAAGTACAAAGCCAACCGCGACAAGTGCGAATTCGCGCGGCAGAAGCTGGAGTACTTGGGACATTATGTGACGCCGCAAGGCATCCGTCCGCTTGCGGACAAGATCGAGGCCCTTCGAGTATGGCCCGAGCCCACCAACACCACGGACGTTCGTTCATTCATGGGATTGGCGGGCTACTATCAGCGATTCATCACCGGATACTCGAGGATTGCTGCACCTATGACGAGATTACAATCGCCAAAGGTGCCATTCGTATTCGATGACGACGCACGCCGGTCATTCCAAGCACTTAAGACGACTATGCTCATGGCACCCGTCCTTAGCATCTATGACCCCGCCGTGCCGATGTGACTACGGACGCTTCCGGCTATGGCATTGGGGCAGTCTTGGAACAGCACGACGGCGACGACTGGCACCTTGTGGAGTATTTCAGCCACAAAGTGTCTCCCATCAACTCGCTTGATGATGCAAGGAAGAAGGAGCTGCTCGCATTCGTCATGGCTCTCAAGCGATGGTGGCACTTCCTCCTTGGGCGTCGTAGGTTCACATGGGTTACGAACAACAATCCATTGACCCACTACAAGATGCAGGATACGGTGAGCAGCACGATCGGACGATGGATGTACTTCATCGACCAGTTTGACTTCACACCGAAACATCTTCCCGACCTCTCAAATCGCGCAGCAGATGCACTCTCGCGAAGACCTGATCTTTGCGCTATGACACGTCATGCCTTCGCATTCGACGAGGAGCTTCAGCGACACTTCATCTGAGCATATGAGTCTGATCCAGACTTTGCCACGCTATATTCACAGCTATCTTCGGATCACCCGCCGGCCAGTAACTATCGCATTGCCGACGGGTACTTGCTATTCCACTCGAGAGGCAAGGACTTACTGTGTGTCCCACGAGACCGTCATCTTCGGACTCGCCTTCTCGGAGAGTTCCATGACTCGCGACTCGCCGGCCATTTCGGAATCAACCGCACTATTGCACGGCTTCGACAACGATTCCGATGGCCCGACCTCATTACCGATGTCACTCGGTATTGCGACTCTTGCGAAGTTTGTCGACGCAGCAAACCCCGCAACCGCAATCCCTATGGCGAGCTACGCCCGATGCCTATCCCACGGGAACCCGGTCTCTCCATTGCCATGGACGTCACCGGTCCGTTCCCTCGCGACCGACTCGGGCACGACGGCATCCTCACGGTTGTGGACCGATTGAGTAAGTACGCGCGTTTTCTTCCTTGCAAGTACTACTCCACGGCTCTCGAGCTGGCACGCCTGCTGCATACCGGTTGGATTTGTGGCCACGGTGTACCAGAAGACATAGTCAGCGACCGCGACACTCGCTTCATGTCGGCATTTTGGACTGCTCTCATGCAGGAGTCCGGCACGAAGATGAAACCAAGTTCGGCTCGGCATCCACTGACGGACGGGCAAACAGAGCGGGCACATCAAACCGCTCAAATGATGCTTCGTACACTCATCCGTCCGGACCAGAAAGATTGGGTTGAGCGCCTCCCCAACATCGAGTTCGCCTACAACACTTTGGTGCACCCGACGATCGGCGTGACTCCATTCGAGTTGCACCACGGTGGACGGAAAGGCCGTATCTTCGCCGACCTTCTCCTCCCTCGACCAACCGACATTGACGCCGCTTGCTCTCCCGCTTCCGTCCGGAAGTACAGGGAATTGCCGACTCAAGCCCGCGCGAATATGCAAAAGGCTCAAGTCTGCATGCAGCAGCAAGCCAACAGGCGTCGCGTGCCATGTCCCATCCGAGCCGGTGATCTGGTTTGGGTCTCCGCGGAAGAGTTTGCATTGGAACAGGATGTTTCACGCAAACTGCTTCCCAAGTGGTTTGGACCATGGTCTGTGACATCAGCCGCGGGCGATGAGCCCGATGGCCCTTCATTTGTGATCAACATTCCCGAGCATCTGACGGTCCATCCAGTCTTTCACGCATCAAAGCTGGCAACATATACACCAGCTAAGAGCGACGACTTCCCGGGCCGACGATCGCAGGACCCTCCATTTATGGATGGTCATTAGGAGGTTGACCGCGTCATCTCGGATCGCAAGTACGGCAGCAAGCCGCGACAGTACAAAGTTACATTCAGAGCATGCGATCCCGACGACACTCGGTGGATTTCAGGAGCAGATTTGAAAGCATCCACACCGCTGATCTACTCTCACTATGAGCGTCAAAGGTTAGCCAAGGGACCTCCACGACCTGCCCCTCCCACCCGGACTGTGGTCCCTCCCTCAGACAGACAGCTTCGCCCTCGCAGGTAAGCTCGGTCTTTCAAGGAGGGGGGGGTGTGGCATACTGAGTAGCCACACAGGCCCTCCAGGGCCCGTCCCACACTTTCAGCCTAAAAGCCTAAAACTTAGGGCTTACAGGCCCCGGTCGTTCAGCCTGAAAGCTGAAATACGAGGGCCTGCAGGCCCTATTCCGTTTCAGCCTATTTCTGTGCCTTTCAGGCCCAGAGGCTTTTYAGCCTGAAACGGMGGGCCATTTTCAGGCCCTCATTGTGTTCGACCTACCTAAGACAGGCACGAAAACAGGGTTTCGGAACAGGCCAGAAATAGCCTGTTCCCCATGCCAGCTCGAGCAGGAGCTGCAGCTGCAGCCCCTGCCTCCCTGGGGCATTGGCAAGAGCAGCCTCCTGGATTGCTCGCCTGCAGTCAGGAGGCAGACCCGAGTAGTACATAGGATAGTCCCATGCACTTCACGGGTAGGTAGTTGTCAGTAGGCACGAGTAGTCTTCAGGATTCGGCCGCAGCACTCAGGAGGAGCGCTGCAGAATTCTTCAGCGCTAGGCAGTAGTCTTCAGCGTTAGCTGTAGTCTTCGGCGCTGGGCGCCCATAGCCATAGTAGTAGTCTTCAGCGCTGGGCGCTAGTAGGTGGTAGATAGAAGAGTTGGGAGAGATGGCTGGCGGAGGCCAGCGAGACTTACCTGTGGCGCCATAGCTCCAGCTCCATCTTCGAGGTACCTGCATCAAGGCGCCAACTTCACAGGTTAGTACTGGAGAGAGAGAGAGAGAGAGAGAGAGAGAG